GTTAGGATCACTGTTAAGATCGGGTATGTTGGAAGTTTCGGAAATTTCTACCAATGTGTACTGAATAGCACTAAATTTGATACAATTTGAAATTTGTATTTAGGTGAACCATTTAAGATTACTATCGGAGTGTAGATAGTTTTGGAAATTTGTACTTATGTGTACCAATTGGTACTAAATTTGGTATAATTTGGATTTAGGGTAAACCAATAGGACTGGAATCTTGAACATGGGAAATAATATATCTATCTCAAATATCGAAAATATAGCGGAACCTTAATATGTGGGTGGTATAAAAACCATAAATAATATCTTGCAACACTGTCTCACGGGAAGTAGGGCAAATCCAGCGATTACCTTGGTTCCTGTTTCATCTCAACACTAACCTCCCCGTAGTGTCACCTGGGGTAGATACTTTCAACACACGTTGCAATAGTGACCTAATATGCTCCGCATGTTCGCACATGAGAATACAAAGTTCGTCTACAGATTCAATCCAGTAGAAGAGCGAATTTCTTAATCCGTATAAAATCGAAATTCTTTTACATCAGTCTAATTAGCACACATGCTCCGACCGAAGACAAAGATGAGCAGACCAAAGACATATTTTACTATCGCCTAGAAAGAACGCATGACCGTTGCCCTTACCATGACATTAAAATTCTGATAAGAAACATCGGGTTGATTAAAAAACATGGTAGTTAGCACCACCAGATTCACCTCGATATCCACAAGGCCACCTGGCTTTCTGCCTATGAAACAACGAGAAGTCAAATTGATCATGTTGTGATGGATGGAAGGCGTTCATACAATGTGTTAGACGTTCGATCGATCCGAGGAGCGAATATCGATTCGGACCACTACCTTGTAGCAGCCAAGGTTTGAACTCGTCTTAACGTAGCAGCAAAGGTGCGACGGAAACTCGACGTCGACAAGCTGCTAACACAACTGATAGCAGAAGCCTACTCCGCTCAACTTACTCAACCGCTGGAAGAAAGAACTGCTTGTCCCGATAATCCATAAGCACAATGTCAAAAAATTGTCCAATCCTTACAGACTGCAACAAAAGCGAAACTTGAGTACCATGAAGAAATCCATGGTACGATCAGAAATGTCGTAATGCTACTGATGTGAAAAATGCAGCAAAAGCAGAGAGGAGAAACGTATTTTCAAAAAAGAAGAAGAAATAACGAGGAAAAAGAGAGCGTGAGCTAATCGAGATGTACAGGAGTCCGGAAATTTTACCAAAGAGTAAAACACCAAACTAGAGGCTTTGGCGGATGCACATCCTCCTGCAGAGATAAAGAAGGAAACCTGGTGACAGATTCAGACAGTGTGTTGAGGATCTGAAAGGAGCATTTTGAAAAGCTTCTGGTATCAAATAGTAGCGGTGAAGAGAATACCCCAGAACCAATACCACCTAGTCGAGATTAGGTCACAATTGCAATCAATCGGCTGAAGAACAATAAAGCAGCAGGTGTCGATGGGTTACCAATCGAACTATTCAAGACAGGTGGTCAAATCCTGGAACAAGGTCAGCAATTGAAGTCGGAAAGGATCTCCCGGAGCCATTCAATACCGAACGAGGATTCATACAAGGCGATAGTTTGTCGTGTGACCTTTTTAACATCATGCTGGAAAAGATCATACGAGATGCACAGGTGAACAGACATGATACTCTGTGCACCAAACTACACACGTTACTAGCCTACGCCGATGACATCGACATAATTAGTCGAACATTGCGGACGATAACAGCCACCTTTGCCAAATTTATAAGGAATCTGCCAAAGTAGGTCTAGCAGTAATTGTTGTAGACTCAGACCATCTCTGAATCTTGAAAACTACAACGTTGAGGTAATCAGAGATTTCATCTACCTCTGTGTCGTCATAAACAAAACAAATGTCATCAGTTGGGGATTCGGTGAAGGATAGTGTAGTCCTACAGATGCTACTATGAAAAAAAAACACAACAATTTTATGGGGAGACCCAAATGTGAATACGACGAAGCAAATTTTAATACTAATCGAAAAGAAAATCCGCAAACTGACAGATATTTTCACAGGACATAACAACCTTCAGGCCCACTTACACAAGATTGGATGCGAGGGAAGCGACTGATGTAGAGCGTGTGGTGAAGACAGCGAAACGTTAGAACATTTCCTATTTCACTCCCAGCCTCTTCAAGCTTCCGAACCCAATTCATATGAAATGGTACTTTTCGGGAAACATAATCTAAAGCTGACTTCTTCTAACATTCTGCCTTCTCTAGAGCGCACAACAGACCACGTACAGGCTTAAGTGTATATCATATTATATGATTGTATACATAAATCACCCCTCATTTCAACCTAACCTAATATGGGGCTATATCAAACCGGGGCCGACTATATGATACCCTTCACCACTTTGGCATATTCAACTGATGAATCCTAAAAGACGTCGAATTTTTGAAGGACCATTAACATGAAAATGGATTTCATTGAGATTTACCAGAGATTAACTACTGTTCATTGTACAAAACTGTGTGGCAATCGGACACACAATTTACATAAAATCGGAAGAATATATATATATATATGGGAGCTATATCTAAATCTGAACCGATTTTCAGGAAACTTAACACACATCATTCCAGACCTAATTCATTGCGCTATGCAAAATTTCGTGCAAATCGAAAAATATATAGGGACCTTGGTACACCATTTACATTAAATCGGACGAAAATGTATATATGGGAACTATATCTAAATCTGGACCGATTTTCAGGAATCTTAACAAACCTCATTCTACACTTAATCCAGCTGTGCCAAATTTCGTGCAAATCAAAAGATAAAGAGGGACTTTGGTACACCATTTAAATTAAATCGGACGAAAATATATGTATATGGGAGCTATATAAAAATCAGAACCAATTTTCAGGAAACTTTACACTCATCATTCTAGATATAATTCAGTACGCTGTGCCAAATATCGTGCAAATCAAAAGATAAACAGTGTGGTGAAGGGTATAAATAGGGACTTTGGTACTCCATTTACATTTAATCGGACTAAAACATATATATGGGAGCTGTACCTAAATCTGGACAGATTTTCAGGAAACTTACCACACATCATTCTGTACCTAATTCTTTACGCTATGTCAAATATCGTTCAAATCGAAAGATATATAGACCATTTACATTAAATCGGACGAAAATATATATGGGAGCTGTACCTAAATCTGGACAGATTTTCAGGAAACTTAACACACATCATTCTAAACCTAATACAATACGATGTACCAAATTTCGTGCTAATCAAATAATATAGATAGGGACTTTGGTGCACCATTTACATTAAATAGGACGAAAATATATATGGGAGCTATATATAAATCTGAACCGATTTTTCCCAATAGGGTTCGTCCTTGGGCCAAATAAGTGACCTATGCCAAATTTCATCCAATTCGGATCATAAATGCGACCTGTACTTTGTTTACAATAGGCAGACGGACGGACGGACATGCATAAATCGACTTAAAAAGTGATTCTATGCATATCCTCAAAAGGAACCATGTGTCTAACTCGTTTCCTTTTGCCTGTTACAAACATATGCACAAAGACATAATACCCTGTACCACAGTGTGGTGAAGGGTATAAACATGGACCTATATCGAAGATTTTCTGCAAAGATCTTGTTTGCCCTTCAAAAACTTTAAATGTCAAATTACAGCCCCTAAAATACCGATCATTTAAGCACCTTTATATGGGGACTGCCTGCATAGATGTATGTTAGCACCCAAAAGCTCGGAATGCCAAATTACCTCCAATACGTGAAACGATATACCTCATTTGCTCTTAAGGGGACCCCCCCCCCATTCTCGGGGTCAAATTTTTTTAATTAAATCGATTCTACACTAATTCAAGAATGTCCCTACAAAATTTCAAGTGAAAATCTCAAGAACTCTTGAAAATATAGCCAATTTATTGTGTCAACATCAGGTGACGGCTAAAGGGCTTCTCAAACTTTAAACGCGTTTTTCTCTTTTGCGAATGGCGGGCACGATAACTCAAAAACTAATAACCCAATCGATTGCAAATTTTTACACGTTTCTCTGTGAGTATATAGCTATCGTATGAACTAGGATAAAGCCAATCGGTGAAGATCTTCCTTATTTTTTAACTTGGTTTTTGGTCAAAAATCGGCGATTTTCCAAAAATATTTTTTCAAAGGTCCGTCATTTTGTTAATTTTAGAGCGAAGTCAATAATCCTAGTTCATACGAGAGCCAGACATGTACTCTTTCTAACACCGTTGGAATTTTCGGATTCCGATGTTCCAGTGAGGAGTTATCGTGCCCGCCATCAAAAATAAGGACTTTTCTTTAATTACAAAAAACAACAACAAAACGACAACAAAATTTTTTTTTTAATTATTTTTCTTCTCTTTTAAATCTTCAAATATATATGTGCAAAGTTACAAACCTTAACAAGCATTGGTATTGATTTACCAGCCCATTGAAAATCTTGAAAAATTAAAATCGAGAATGGGTGGGGTTCCCTTAAAAATCACCCTTTATTAGGACTGAGTTCGAATTTGGATATTGCTCCCATATCGGTCGCATTATTTTAAACCCTTTAGTATAGCCATAATGTCTGCACCGCCGGAATTCTGTAAAATTTGAATTAATTTTGAATTTCGGGATTTATAGCATAGTATCGATATTAGTTTATCACAACATACCTATTTTTCGTTTTAGGATTTTTCGAAAATCAATCATATTCCGAATTTTACTCGTTGTTTTTAATTTTACCAAAAAGTATTACTTTTATTTACAAAAATATTTTTATTATACACTTTGTTTCCCCTTACACTGATGTTGTTAATTAAAAATTTTATTTGAGTTATTTGTTTTTTTTTTCTTGGAAACACAAACTGGCCCCATCTTTAAATGATATCCTTTGGACTGATTCTATATACAAATGTTTCATTCTGTTTCACAAACTCGCATCTTTGTAAATCTCCCCCGCCAGGGCCTCCTAATGATAGAGTCCATGATGATAAGGATAGTAACCATGACCACCATAATAGGGAGCAGCATAGCCATGATGGACAGCAGCATAACCACCATAATGAGGATAAGCGGCCAAACCGTGGCCATAATATCCACCATAACCGCCTAAACCTAAACCATGGCCATAACCGAATCCATAAATGCCACGTTTTTCGGTTTTCTTCTCGGCCAAGGAGGCATCTACTTCGGATTGTTTGGGTTCACTTGAGGCGGCATAGCTGGCGGCCAAAGCAAAGATGACAAAAATGCACAAAACACTCTGAAAGGAAAACAAGACGCAGAGGCACAGAACATTAGAACTCATCAGCAAACACTTTTTATAATTTATTATCCTTGTTAATCCTTTAATTTAAATTATTTTGTTTTTTTCTCTTGATTTTCACATCACGAAACTTACGAAATATTTCATGTTGCCTGGTTTGTTTTTTGGTTTAGAATTCAATTTTACAAGATTGTGATCTTATTTGTATGAGAGCTTAATTGCTTTTGATGTCTAGTAGCCGAACTGTGGCATTATTTATACTGGCAATGATAGTCTCAGCGTCGTGGCATCGTCGTTGCATTGGGTGCAGCTGAGGCGAATATTAAAATGCAATATGCTCTAAGCCCTCTCCGTGGTTTGATCGTCACCGGCAAACATCAACATCATCAGAAGTAACAGCAGCAACGGCAGCAGCTGTCTGGGCAAGCCCTCCTCAGTATGGTAGTGGGGCAATGTTATACCTCCCCCTGGCTCCCCTCCACAGCAGTGGTGCATTAATTTCTGCATTTATTTTAACTAAACAATGGCTTCAATTACCCCTCTTTGGTAACTATGTATATTGTAATTGTTCGTATATAACTATATATTTTGATATGTGTGTGTGAGTGTGTGTGCATGTTAGTATGTAACTACGGTCATATATAATTATTATTTGGTCTATTGTCTTATATTTAACCTATTGCTGTCTTGTCATATTTTCCAACACTTGAAACTGTTATAAGACCGTTGCAGCAAAAAAAATGCGACCATTGATTTCCAAATATTTTGTTGTTGTCGTCGTTGCCTTGTCGTAATTTTGCAGACATGCGTCACCTAAATAAGGGTATCGAAAAACCAATATTAGTTTCATGGTAGCTGCATTTTTTATCATGCAAATAATTGTGCTACTTTATAGTTACGGGAGGCATTGAACAAGAAATTGATGGGAAGGCATATTTCATATGGAATGACCCAAAACAAATAAAAACTTCCTCTTCTAGGAGCTAAGTTGAAAGGACTAATATTAGGTATTGATATTGGGCAGAATTATGAAGAAACCAATATTTCGGCTGGGAGCTAAGTGCAAAGGACATATATTAGATATTGGTATTGGACAAAATTTTGGTTTTATTACCCGAATGATTTCACGGATTCTGATCCGTATTTATCGTACGGTAATTCTTACCCTCAAGTCGATATCTGCATGGGCAAAGATTTTACAACATTCCAGGCAAAAGAAACCTATATTTCGGCTGGGAACCATACTTTAATTGTTAATCAGAAAAAATCGGTTTGAAACTAAAGAGTACCCCTGATGTTCTCGTATAGTTTCAAGAAGAGACATATGTTAGATTATTCGATGTTCAGCCACCAAATATAGGATCTATTTTAGAGACAAAGTAAATTGTCTGCCGGTAGGTTAGACTAGGAACTTGAGCATAGCAAAAATTAAGCGATCACACTGTATGTATTTACCAACATTGACCTATATTGATTTCTGGGGAGAAGTATTTTTTTTAATAAGAACCTGGAATGGTAAATTAAAGTTTTTTCAGTTAGAATCCTCGGAACCTTTATATGGAATCGATGTAGAATTGTATGCCAAATTACAGCCCAAATTTCCCGCAGGTCTTTTCTGCAAAGAATATGTACCAAAACGTTGAAATGCCAAATTAGAACCTTACAACGAACCGAAAATTGGACAAGACCTTTATATGGGGGCTATGTCAAAACATGAACTTATATGGATAATTTTTTGGGCATATACTTATGTGAACCTCCTAAATCCTTATATCCCAAATTATAGTTTTAGATTAGAAAATTCATCAAAAAAAATAAAAAAAGCGGAAAGTTGGGCTGGACCTTTATATGGGAGCTACGTCAAAACGTGGATCTGTATTGATAGTTTTCTGTATATATGTTAGTCTTCAAAAGCCTCGAAGGCTTTTATGTTTGCAAGCTTCCAAATCTTCAAAAATTATGGCCTTTCGATTGAGAAATGCGGTTATATCCCCCAAAATACCCCTAAAATTGGGCAGCTACGTCAAAGCATGGACATGTAGGGTTCATTTTCTGCGAAGGCGTATGGCAGCCTCTAAGTTTCCGAAATGCAACATTAGAGCCTTTTCGTTTGAAAAATGCGACTATAACACCCAAAATACCGACTCTGCAGAAGACGTTTCGACGACAGAGGGGTCTAGGATCCGAAACGACCCGAGTCTTACTCGGCCAACGTCCGTCACCTCAGCCCATTGTGTAAAAGCGATAGGGCTGCTACAACAACAACAACTCTGCAGAAGAGGGTTAGAGTATTAATATTATCAATATTATCCAAACAGTCGGTACCACTGGCTTGATGTTCCAATTGGATGTGAGAGACCTAATCCTGCAGTGACTTATTATGATAACTACAGTGAGTTTGATTTTTTTCTGTCGTGAAAATTCCGGCTACATATATTTGAAGTTTTGCACCCAAACTCCTCAAGCTTTCTCGAAGTAGATCTTGCGGACTTTGCTCACACAGTAGCCAATAGATGGTGTTACATATCTTTCAATCGGCAAATCAGTCGACTGTGACCGTCGTCTAGCGAACTCCTCAATGGCAATGAAATAGATCATTATTTTAATACGTCCTGGAAATCATGCCATACAGAACAATTTTCACACCAGTTGAAAAACATAAATGAGACATTTTTAATTTATTTGTTATTTACTAAGAATAAGATATGTCAAGTTATCCATGAGAAATTAGGAACATTTATGTGGATTTGTATCAAAACTTGGACCTATATATACACCACACAAATTTGTATAAAAGTCAGCCTCCCAGAACTGACTGTCTACCAAATCGGTTAAAATTCGTACTCTAGCTCTCAAAAATACCGATTTTTAGGGTGTAGCGTTATATGGGAGTTTCCCTAAAAAGAAGAGTATAAATATTGATCATTTTTAGTAAGAACATTAACTATCATACCACAAGGAAAAAAAAAACAACAATTGTGCATGTGTTCAAAACCAGCAAAATACCGAATATTGGTGGGTACCGTTATATAGGGGCTACCCCGAAACATAAGCCAATATTGATAATTTTCCGTAGGCAGATCTGATAGTCAAAGTGAATCCAAAATACAAAATTACAACTGATTCTCTTGATAAACGTGTCTAAAATGCCCAAAATACCGAAAAATGGGTCTACCCTAATATGGAGCCAATCCAAAAAATGGACCCGTATTGATTACACAGTGACACATTTTTCAACTTTAAAATCTTGAACCAATCGAGACCCCCAAAATCTTGAAGCTTGTGATGGTGGAAGAAAATCCCTAGCTGGGTTTTGCATTATTAGCTAAGGTTTTTTTTAAATTCATTTTTAAAATATTCGACTGGGGCGGATTTTAGCACAATTTTTGAATAATACGTACTTATTATTGAGTCTATATCTCGAGAACTATTCGAAATATTGCTTTTCTCTCTTAAGCAATATTTTTCCTCTTAATTAGATCTCTTGAGATAAAACCAATAAAACAACACCATCATACTGAAAATAGCACAACTGCAAAAAATTAAAATTTAGACATACTTTTTCCATGTTTTTCACACTTTTTTCAAAAACTGCTACTGACTCGGCCAAACAGTATATGACAAGAAGATAGCCAATAGCAAATCAAACAACTTTTCTTAAAACCCCGATTTCATTGGTTGACTCCTTCACATAGTTATAGCCTCACAAATTCATCAAGATGAACCAAAGAAATTCACTCCCAATTGTATGTTTATAGAAATAAAAATTGCTATGCTTTTTTCAATAAATAGGTACAAAATTGAAGTAAAAATTAAACATGGAAAAAGTATGTCGAAATTTTAATTTTTTTGCAGTTGTGCTATTTTCAGTATGATGGTGTTGTTTCATTGATTTTATCTCAAGAGAAAATTTTTAGATCTAATTATTTGAAAAGGAAAAATATTGCTTAAGAGAGAAAAGCAATATTTCAAATAGTTCACAGTGTTATTTTTGGTAGAAAGATTGGATATAGACTTGGAAAAGTGTAAAAAATCAATAATATTTGGGGGTATAGTATATGTATTATTTGAAAATTGTGCTAATTTTAAAAATTAATTTAAAAAAAAACCTTAGCTAATAATGCTAAACCCAGCTAGGGATTTTCTTCCACCATCACAAGCTTCAAGATTTTGGGGGTCTCGATTGGTTCAAGATTTTATGCTGCACAGTGTTACCTACTACCACAAGATCAACCTATGGTACAACTGATTTTAATCCTCAGATTTTCCTAGGGATAAAAAGATATATCATGAAAAAATATGTTATATATTTTATTTAGGTTTACTTTTGAAACCACAAAATGGACAACCCTTTTTGGCAGACCAATTTCCAGTCATGTTAAAGGCTATAACACAGTCCAAAGTGCGGTGTCTGGCACGATACTGTTTCTATGAGTCCCAGAGAGCCTGTGTTATTGCTTGGAACTTAAGCAAATGGTTCAATGGTTGGAGATTAAGGATTAATTTCAGAGTAGCTTGGGGTTTACTGCAGAGGGTCAAAGTTATAAGGAGAGATGCCAATCGCTGTACAAATGTATTCGGTTTTCAATTGCCTACTACCACAAGATCAACCTATCGTACAACTGATTTTAATCCTCAGATCTTTCCTAGGGAGTTCTTGCATGAGTAAAGTGCTATTAGGCCCCTCTTATAGCGTTCCTCTACATTCCTTTTCCACGTTAATGTGTGGTCAAAGGCTCTTAGCTTCCTTACAATGCACTTAAGGGCTCAAATCATTCATTTAGGAACAATGCAGTAGTCAACGGTGGTTAATTACTGCATCATTTTGTACCAATTGTTTGAAAACTTGTTTGAGAAGAACATCGAACTTGTCTCATAGCAAATTTGTATTACCAATTCCATTGTAAGTTCATAATACGATAAAATTGAAATATAATAATTGCATTCTCAAAACGAAATTTCGCTTGCTAAAATCATAACAGAGTTCAATATATTTCTCTTAAGGAGTTCCAGTTTTCCCACGTCATTCACAACACCTGTCA